CTTGTTCTCCTCATCAAAATCCGGTATATGGTAATCATCGGGATTATTCTCAGAGTTAGATACAGAAGTTTGTACCTTCACAATAGACGAGGCCTTTATTTTCGTAGTGAATGAGTCCCCTTGAAGTTCTGGTAAGATTCTAGGTGAGATAACCACCTATGGGGTAGGTGGCATAGTTACCCCTTCAGATGAACCTGCCCCAAGCACACTTGCTTGATTTAAACTATATAACTTGGCAACAATTTGATCAATCAAATACTCTTGGATTTTGGTGATCGAGTCCAAAGTGCTTTGGTTGTTCTTACTTATTTTCTCTTCCAACTCTTTTTGCAACCTTAACATGTTCTCCTCGAGTTGAGCTATCTTTGCCTCTATCTTATTCTTCTTTGAGCAGGTGTTATGAGGATTAGGTGTGTCCAATGCTTGGGGTGGTATGTCCAGTGTTTGTTCCTTTTTTGTGAGACATCTCTTGTTAGTTAATGTGAATGTAATAAAAAAAGAAAAATAATGTGAAATATGCAAGAATGCATGATGCATGAAGTTTCGAGGCACTGATCCAAAAAACGTATGTTATTATAAATAATCTTTATTGGGACAAAATTTTTATTCCTTTTAAGAGATAAAAACCCCCTAAATGTATATTTTGACTAAGTCTTCTAGACCCCAAACAGCTTCTAATAGGTTGACTAGTCTTCTGTCTTCATATGTCACCGGTTGAATACCGTGTCAAACCACTCCGGCTTCTCTGGCTAAATCGTGCAAGTGTCGAGCTACATCTCTGGATTTCACTCTCTGCTAAGCCTGCTCCCAACGAAAATGCCATTGGATACCTCCATCGAAGGGAACTATCTGAAGCTCACTTACTTGTTTCTTGAACCTATCCACAATGGCCTCCAACTCAGCGAAAGTTTTTCCTTCCCGTTCTTGTTGTTTCTGAAGAGATTTCTCTAAATCAGTCACCTTGGTCTGTAGACGTTTGTTCTGGTGTTGAATGTCTAACAAACGTCTTTGGGAAGCCTTTAGTTGTTTTTTTAGGGTTCTTTTTCATCTTGTCCTTCGGTCTTCAATTTTCTAATATTTAGAAGATCTTTTCAGGCTAGAATTGTTCAGAACTTGTTCTTGATACCCCTTTCTCAAAACAGAAGTCCTTTTGTTGTTTTTCTAATTTGTCTGCTCGAACCTTCTGAGTCTTTTCTGACCATAACCGGACCTCTGCATTTTTTACCTCTTGCATTACAACCCCTTTGTCCATTAATGCAAATTATTTATGTTTAAAAAACACATTTTTGTGGATCAACACCTCTTTTGAATGATCTAAATGATAAAAAATAAAAGAAAGGCAAAATGAAAGGAAAAAAGTTAGTGAGATAAATATAATAATCAAAATGATAATAAAAAAGTCCTACCCCTTATGATATCTACCCCACATGCTCATTATTCCTACCCGGACATGATCTCTATCCCGCATGTTGATTTTGAACGAGTCTTAACCACATAAACTTCTAGTTCACATGCTCTGAATGGAAAATAAAGCAGGAAATGACTCAAGACAACCTAGGTTTTGAAATAAGTTTTGGGGTGGGCTCTAATTCCTTGTAGTCTCCCGGTTTAGGTTCTAAAGAAAGGTACCGAGTTCTCCTTGCTGTTGCCCCTTGGGCTTGCCAGACCCTCAGTCTTAAGCCCATTACAAGCTTATGTGGACCAAGTTAAACTCAAGAGGTTACATTCCCTTATGTCTATACGGAGAATATATTCACACGAAGACATAAGGTATATGAATCTCGAAGGTTACTTGCTAGGCCTATACGAAGAATAAATTCTCACGAAGGTGTCGCTTTCACCTCCACTTAAAAGGGGTTTAGATCTCGGTATAGAGCCAGAGATGAAAATTTTTAGAAATCTGAAATCATCGAAAAAATGTCAGTACAACTATTTATTTAAAAAATAATCAAAGATAAACAATAAGAATCGAATAAATAAATTAAAATTTAAACGCTTAAAAAGACAACCATAAATTAATTTGGCCTGACTCACTAACCTGTCCCCAGCAGAGTCGCCAAACTGTCGGAATCTTCTTTCGGATGGGCCCAAAATTGGGCTTTGACTTAAATAAAACACATTATAGCCACCACTGATCATTTTAAAAAAATATTTAGGTTGATCAGACACAATCTTACCTGGTCTGCGTTTTACCATAAATATGTCAGATTCGGGAGTCAGTTACAGTCAAGGAAGGATTAGCTCCCTTGAACTGCCATTTCGGTACCATTTTAATTTCTCGGTTATCTTAATTGTGAAAATTACAAGTTAAGTTAAAATTTAAGGATTCAATTCGAATCACTTACCTTTGATCAACTAAAATTGCCCTTAAAAAGTCAGAAAGATGTTAGATTGTAAAATAGAATAAATAAATAAATATTAAAAAAAGTTTAAAATAAATAAATAAAATCAAGGTTAAAGAAAGAATAATAGGAAAAAATAAATAATTAATTAATTAAGAAAATTTAAATTTTAAAGGAAATAAATAAATAAATAATAAAAAGAGTGAAAATGATATTTTTTTAAAAAAAATAAATAAATAAAAGAAAGAAATGATAAATTTTGAAAGCAAGTAAAAAAATAACAGAATAAAAAGAAAAAGTAGAAAAAAAACATAAGAAACTTAAAGGGCTAAATTCAAATAAATTGAAATTCATGGATCAAATTGATGCTAAAAAATGAGATGCAATAGCAAAATAAAAGGTTAAGGGGATTAAATTGCAAAATGTAAGAAACATAATCAAGGATTAAATCAAAATAATTCAAAATTCAAAGGTTAGTTTATAACAGGTGACCAAAATGAATTACACATAAAAGTTAGAGGCACTGTAAAAATAATTAAGAATTTAAATTTGCACTAAAATCCCTCAGCTATAAATACCCCCTAAAACCAAAAAAAAAATCATTTTACCCATTCTTTTTTTAAAAAAAAAACTCTCAAACCTCCCAAACACTATCCTCTAAAAACTAACCGGCCAAAGGCTGGTCACCTTCCCCGGCCACAATCAACTGCCCGACCACCGCTCTTGCCACCGAAATTCCAAACTCAACCACACGCTTCCTCTCAACCCCATGATCCCAAATCTAGCCTGAAAACAACAAAACTATTTCTAGATCGGTGTAGATCTAGCCTAGAAAGCCACGAGTTTTTACCTTTTTGGCGATAAATCTCTCGTTTCCTCTACAACTATGCTTCTGGTGATGTTTCTATGCTCTGATAACCCTCTACGAAACAAAGCTCTACGCTTTTTTCAATTTTTTGGCTTGTGTTTTTTGTATATATTTACTGTATTTTTTGTGTTGGTTGTCGTCTGTGTAGTTTCAATTTCTTCCTCCATTTTTTATTGATGTTATGATGGATATTTTTGTTGCTTTTTGCCTTCCTTTACTGTGGTTCATCGGTTGCTTTTTATAACCTCTGGAAACCGATTACAACCCTAATTTTGGCAGGATTTAGGTGTGGTTGACTCTCTCAGTGTAGTGTTTATGGTTGTTTGTGGGTTGATCAAAAACCCCAGAATGGTGCAATCACGGGTTCTTCGGTCGGACGTCTCAGCCGGTTTCTGTTGTGGCCGGTGGCGCTATTTGCTTGGTGTTGAAAACCCTAATGGACTTGGATGTTTGGGCCTCCCACCGGGTGTGCTTGCTGGGTCAGGCTTGCAGGCTCGGTTGGGCTTGGATCTTTGGACTCAACCTGGAAAAAAATCGAGAAAAAAGAAAAAATATTAATAATAAAATAATAAAAATAAATAATATTAATATATAATAAAAATTTAAAATAATATGTTTTCACAAAAATCATTATTTTGGATAATTCCATTTTATTATCCAAGAAAGAAGAAGACCTGCTACCGATTACAGCGTGCAATAAACAACAAATTACAATAGAACCAACAAAAGCTAATTAACTATCAAACAGGGTATAATGGAGCAAAAAGCATAGTTAAGGTATACCCCAGATCAAACAGAGGGATTTGTTTCTTGAATCAGCCCTGTTGATTGGCTTCCCCAGCATACGAATCCGAACAACATCCTTGATGTCTTGTAGGGCAGCCTCCACCGACTTCGCTCTGCCCCAAAAAAGCATGTTGTTCCTCTCCCTCCAAATACAATAAGCGTGGCCTGCCCAAGCAAGCTTGAGCACTTTCATTATAAGTGATTTACCCTTGAAACAGCGAGTTCCCCAAGCCACTTCTCCATCCCAACTACTAACCATTCGGTACAAACCACACAGTGCAGGACATCAGTTAAAGACCTTTAGCAAAACTACACCCAAAGAATAGATGCTCTCTAGATTCGGGTACAAGGCCACACAACAAGCAATTAACATCAACAATACTCAGCCTCATATTCAATAGCCTAACCCGAGTGGGAAGCATATTCAACATGGTCATCCATACAATGACTTTATGCTTGGGAATACACCCCAAAAACCAGAATAAGTCGGGCCATCGAAGAGATGAGATACCATAGGCATAATCTTCAAGAGGCGCTTAAAGCTCGAGCTAGCGTTAAGGGAATATCCAACCACCAAAAATCTTCATTCCTAATAACATAGGTTCGCAACCAAGCCACCCAAAGAGATCCCTTATTGGTTAATAGTTTCCTGATTAAATGAACCATATGCCATGTTCCAACCACCAATGTCTTGAATACCCAAACCCCCTTCAGACTTCGGCAAGAAGATTTTCTTCCAGCCTTGGCAGGCAAGTCAGACCCCTTCCAAAAAAATCTGGAACATAGTTGCTCAATAATCCTAATCACCCCTTTTGGTAGGATAAGTTATCTGCACCAAAAGTTAGCCATGCTAAATAAGACCGCTCGGATAAGTTGGATTATCCCAGTAAAACTAAGGTTCTTGTTGGCTCATAAATTTAGTTTAGCCTTAATTTTATTGATGAGGCTGCAACAATCCTTCATTGAAAGCTTCCTGGGCACCAATGGGACACCCAAGTACCTTACTAGTAGTTGCCCAGCTTAAACCCAGTAAATTCCTGAATTGCAACACACTGTTGTGTCGAAACTCCAACAGAAAAAATTTCACACTTGCTAGCATTCAATTTAAGACCAGACATAGAGTAAAAAAAATCCAAAACATTTTGCACTCCAATGACAGAATCTATGGAGCCTTCGCAGAAAATGAGCATGTCATTCTCAAAGCAAAGATGAGTGAGCCCTATTTTTTTACACTTTGGGTGGAACTTGAACACATCTTTTGAAGCAACCACATTCAAGAGACTGGACAAGACATTCATGGCCATGACAAATAAGTATGGTGAAAGGGGGTCAACATGCCTAACACCACAAGCACCCTTACAGTAACCAACTAAACTACCATTAAGAACAATAAAATATATAAGACTCGTAATAAAAGCCCATATCCAGCCAACAAACTTCTCAGGGAGGCCCAATGCACGCAAAAAAATCCTCACAAACTCCCAATCTAAAGAATTGAATGCCTTTTGCAAATTAATTTTAAGAGTGCATCTAGGTGAAATATTTTTCCTAGGATAACCCCTAACAAGTTCCTGGGCCAACAGGGTTTTATCTACAATGCTTATACCCTTCAAAATGCAGATTGATTAATAGAAATCATGCTAGGAAATACCACAGCTAACCGATTCACCAAAATCCTAGTAGTAGTTTTATATATAACATAACAGCACTAGATGGGCCTATAATCCCTAACCATGCTCAGATTAGGAACTTTTGGGACCAGAATCACAGTATTTTCATTGAAAGAGGGAAGCATAAAAGAATTTTCAAAGAAGTACCTGATATTTGTCACAAAATCCTTCTCAACAATAGGCCAGGCACTCTTGAAGAATCAAGAATTAAATCCATCAGGACCAGGGGATTTATTATTCCCTTAACCCATATAGCCTCTTTAATCTCATAATCATAGATTTCTTTGATAAGGGCCTCAATAGCACCACTAGGCAAGGAGTAGCCGAGGAGGTCCTTGATGACGTTGATGCTGCAGCATTTAACATCAGGATCAACAACCCTAACTGTCTTCTAAAGAAGTGAATGACCTCATTAGACATGTATTCAAACGAATCCAGCTTAACCCCATCTTGATCATAGAGAGCTCGAATGGTATTGCTCATCTTTTTTCTAGTCACCATGGAATGAAAGAAATTGGTACCTTGATCACCCTCATTAATCCAATCAGCATTGGCCTTCTGCTTGTAAAAAAGCATCTCCGCTAGTTCAAGAGCTTGTAATTCTCTTTCAACCTTTAATTCATCTTCAATAAACCTGTAAGCAACAACAGCATTCAAATTGGAAAGTTGAATGCGTAAAAGATCATCTCTCTTCTTTTGTACTTGACCCGAGATGTCATGAAAATGACTCCTGTTAAGTTCCTTTAGGCAAATTTTCAACCTTTTAACTTCAATAACAAACCTGAGCTGGATTGCCACTAGCTGGGGACTTCCACGAATCTTCAACAATGGACATGAAGCTAGGATGCATAATCCAGAAGTTAAAAAACTTAAAGGGTTTTGGTTTAGCAATGGGGCCTCTTTATACAACCAAACAAGGGTTGGGCAATGGTTTGAATGGAGCCTGAAACTCCATAACCGAGGAAGGGAAAGCCTCAATCTAGCACGAGTTTATAAGAACTCGGTCCAGCTTATAAGCCAAATAAGTGTCCTGCTGCTTGTTCGACCAAGTGAATAAAGGACCCATAAACCGATGATCCAAAATCCCCAACTCCTCTACACATCTTTGAAAATCAGACATATCAGAGATAGTACCAGAGTTAACAGCATTAGAGCTCTCCTCCATATTTAAAATGACATTAAAATCACCCCCAATAAGCCATGCATTATTCCTCACAAAACTATCCATATCTCTAAGCTGGTTCCACAAATGTCTACGAGCAAGACCATCATTAGAGTCGTATACCGTAGTTAAGTAAAAAAAAATCCACTGAAGCTACTCTTAATAGTAATGCTTTGATAAGAAATGGAAATGATTGAACAATCCATATTAGCATGCCACAGCACCCAAATCCAGCCATTTTCAGCATGGTCATAGTTGCAACAGACTCTCCAGTCACCGAACTTTCTAGATAGGATATCCCCAGCATTGGTCACCTTAACTCTAGTTTCTAGGAGGCATAAAACATCAATATTACACCTTTTAGCCCATTTCAACACCCTACTTTGCTTTACGGACTATTAAATCCCCTAACATTCCAAAAACACACTAGCATGCCAAATTTGAAGAGGAAGAAGCACTACCCCTTTCCTCATTTGTTTTAAACTTATCAACTTGTTCTTTCTTCTTCAGCTTCATTTCCTGCACAACTTTAGACACACCCAAAACAACATCATTTTGTTTCTTGCTAGAACCATCAAGAGAAGCACTCAACAAGCTGTCAGGATCAGATGAATTAAGGATATCAAACTTATTCTTAGATCATCCCCCAACAGTTTTTCCATCCTTAGCAGGCCTTCCTCTGTCTCTTTTTTTAGGAGGATTAATAGCTTGCACAATATCAGATTGTTTAACCCCCAGGGTAGCCAAATCATTTCTAGCTCCAGTCCCATCTAACATTGGACAGGCATCCGAGACTTCAGGCAGACCACCTTAGTACGCAAATTTTTGCCAGTGGAAAAAAACTGGGCCACTGCAGCATATGCAGAACCATTTTGCACTTTGCCAAGGCTAGACTCTCCAGGCACTGAAGCCTTAAACAAGCTTTTTGAAGCATCTATGTTACTATCAACAACAACAGTCTGGTTGCCCATAATATCACATACAACATCATAGTGCTCTTTACCAGAACTAAGTCCCCCTAAATCTGAAGCTACACTGAGACTTGCACCAACAGACACAGTTCCACCAGCAATGTTAACAGTTTCCAAAGATTTCAGAGCCTCATCATTCTTTCCAGGGCTAACTTCATGCATAGGTGTTTTAACCCTCCAAACCTGTTCAACTCTCCTAGTCTGGGGGCAAAATTTCTCAGAATGCCCAAAACGACTACAGTTAGTATAGGAATTTAGCAACCAAGTAACAGAAACTCTGATCCTAACTATAGACTCATCACACATAACCACATCAATAAAATTCAGAATCTGAGACCTAGCAGATATCTCCACACAAACACGGGCATATTCAAGCCTTTCCCTAGTAGCAGTAATCGAATCCATATAGAGGGGCTTCCCAATCACACTGGCAATATAGCTAAGCCCCTTCTTCGAAAATAATTCTAAAGGCACATTATAGAGTTGGATCCAAATAGGCATACAAAGCAAATCAAATTACAATTCCTTCAAATTGGGCTCCCATTTCCTAAGGAAAAGCGGTTTATGATGAACATGCCAGGGACCATTTTCTAAAACCCAGTCCCTGGCAGAAGAATTTACAAAAGAGAAGACAAATAAGCTCGAACCAGCTAAACTCACCTTCACCGGTGAATCTTTTCCCCACATCAGGCCGATGGCTTTCTGAGAGCAGCAAAATTTGGAGCTGGTCCAACAAATTGACCAACTAAAGAGAACCTCACTCCAAGATCCCTTCCTCAAATACGAATCGAGGTGGTTTCACAACACATGAACCTCACCACCGAAGGAGGGAAAAAATCTAGCTCCTGATCGTCCCCCGCTGCGAAGAGCTTTCTCTAGTCCATGCCTTCCCCACCAGCCATAAACGATAAAACCCCCCAAAAGAAACTCGGAAATACAGAAAAAAAAGTAAAAAAAAAAATCAAGAATCGCAGAAAAGATGGCCTCGTCTTCAACCGCTGTTAACCCAGCTAACATGCACCGAGAGAGAAGAATTAACGTGCGCCATCATTTCTATTCATAATATGAAATCCCACAAAAAATCATTTTTAAAACTATATAATATATTTTTTTTTCAAAAATTATTTTTGAAACTATATAATATATATATTTTCAAAAATCATTTTCAAAACTATATAATATATATATTTTCAAAAATCGTTTTCAAAACTATATAATATATATTTTTTGAAAACCGATTTTCAAAACTATATAATATATATTTTCAAAAACCAATTTTTAAAAAAGTATATAATATATGTTTTCAAAAATCGTTTTCTAAAAACATATATTATATTTTTCAAAAATATTTTAAAAAATTATCATATATACAAAATAAGTTCTGGATGAGAATGGGTGTCTACAATCACAAACACTAAGTCATAATTTTTTATCATCGATTGTAGTGCTTGAATCATATTTAAGATTGTTCTTAAAATTCTAGGTAAGATCATGTTTCCAAAATTTTCTTTTGATTTTTATATATTTCCAAATTCTAGATAAGATTTTCTTTTATATCAAAATGATATGTTATGTATTGAGAAAAATACGTTGAAAAGCATTGGTGCTGACACCATCATCAATGATTTTGTATCATGAAATGCTCAAAGGTAATGTTTTTTTATAAGTATTTGTTTGCTTAATATATTTTTGACGTTTTGATATTATAATGAATTATTATTTGTTTAATTTAATAAAAAATTAATAGAAATTTTATATACATGTTTCTTAAATTTCATTTGAATTAGGGCTCATTTCTTTGTTTTGCCCGAAGCAAAAAATACTCAAGACCGGCCCTAGGGTGTGGTGGAGTGCTAAGGACGTCTTGTGGGAAGTGATTGCTATGTTTTCGGGGTCTGTTTCTTATATCAACTTTGACTATGCAGAATTTTTAGCAATTAAGACCGCAATTGAAATATTCATGGAGACTAATTGGTTTGATAAGGTTGAGCTGGTAATTGAATATGATTCTAAAGTAACTATGAATTGGATCTCTTCTCTTCTTTATCGTCTTTAGAGGTGGGGATACTTTCGAAAGGATTGATCGTTTGGTTGGCTTGACAGGAAAGGTACATTTTAACTACGTTTCAAGGGATCGTAATTCAATGACAGATTCTCTTGCAAAGGCAGGGATGAGTAGACATATTTTGTTTAAAGCATGGTGATAAAGATTAAGCATTTGTTTGAATGTTGGTTCTGCACTCTTAAAAATGCAGGAGGAATGGAATTTATCGAGTGAAAAGTCTGATTGTGCTCGTGCAATTCAGGTTCCATATTGTTGTTTTGTTGTGATTGCGGCAGTCATTTGTTTCCTTTGGTTGAATTGGCTATTTTGGCTTTGTCTTTGTTTAGCAGTTGCTCCGTATTTTTTTTTTTTTTTTTGGGTCCTCATGTTGTATTGATTGTTGGTAAGGTTCTCTTCTTGTTTGGAAATATCATAATTTTATGTTTATTAGGTGTTTCGCTTGTCAAACGTGATCGTGGTCTTAGGGGTTCTGGTCCGGGGACGTCCATTCGGAGTTTTATCTTTATATTGCTTGAGAGAGTATTTTTTCCTCCATATAAGTTTAAGAGGGTTTTTAATAATTCATTCTCCTCTATAATTTGATAATAAAATCTTTATTGCTGAGGGGAAAAATGTCATATATGAACATGATATCAAAATATATGATACATCTCTCTAGTTCCAATGAAAAAGGGATGGACCTAGGCGAGGAGGGTGGGGGTGGTCACCCCACCTAAAAATCTAAAATAATTATATATTTTAGATTTTTTCCTATATATTTTCTATAAAAAATTCGTTTTTGTCCCTCAAAATTTTATAAGTTCAAGTTCACCCCTATATAAAATCTTGAGTCTGTCTCTAGATACATCCAACAAATTAGATGTAATCACCTTGATTCCAATCAAGGAATGATACATCTAATAATAATGAATGCTTATACATTCATGTAGACGTCGTGTTGAATCTGGGACGAGACTAAATTTTTACTTAGTATTCTTCGCCAAAAGTTGGCCTAACCCAAGTTTTTCCTTCATGTGCCCAAAGTGACTAAAGGGGGTCCTAAGCTTAACCCTTTGTAATTTGTATAGTCTTTGATTATTGAAACGTGTTTGAATGTTCAAAAGAGAGTAAATTCATGTTAACACAAAAAGCATAATGGGTTTTTATTACATTAATAAAAGCATAAACTCGAGTGTCTTATTACTCGTTTGATTCAATACAATGTCCTTTTCAAGAATCTGATATTAGAAATAACTTGTGTGTTTCGACTTGGCTATGTTAATAGAAGCAAAATTTTTACATTGTGGACTAAACATGATTGAAACATGAAAGTGGGGCACCTACATTTTCCAATATTCACCAAATTTCTTTTCAACTTTTTGCAAAAAAAAAAAAAAATCAGGACAAGACAGAGAGACAGGCGCCAAAGGATGAAGCTTCTCCTTTTCTTTTTCCACGTGAATATCAGAATTGAAGTATTAAATAAGACGAAATAAATTGTTAGTTATTAGAGTTTGATTTAGTTAAAATTCAATTAATATTCGAATTGAATAGATTTGATTCGAGTTCTTAAGGTTCGGATTTGAATTTGAGTTCGAGCTTGAATCGAGTTTTAGTTTGATCTTTAATCGAGTTAAGCTTGAGAATGTTTCGAGTTTAAATTTTTTCAAGATTGAGTCTAGTTTCAATTTTTGATTTTTGATCGAGCTTGACAATTTTAAGCTCTTGAACTTTTGAATCGATACGAGCTCAACTTTAAATTTTTCGAGACTAATCAAGTTTAATCATAATCGAACTCAACTTGGCTAGTTTACTACCCAAGTTGAAAGTGACCAAGTGAGGTCAGTCTTGTTTGTTAATAGTGTACGTTGATAATTCATGGCATATACATATTGATAAATTTATGTATTGTTTCATGTTTTGAATATTACCAAATCCTGACAATAAAATGTTTTGCTCGTCAATGTTTTATTTTAGACCATTAAAATAGATTTGCGTTGCCTTAGTATTAAAGCTATAGATCTTGTCACTCTTCCATTAGAAATTTCATCGTCTAATTAAAATCCAATATTACCATTATGAGTTACAAGAAAACGATCCAGTTTTCTTCCTTATGTGGGCAGCAAGAGAAAAAGGACATTGTTTGTCTAAAAAATATAAGATAAAAACAGGGACGGATAAAAGATTTTATATTAGGAAGACGGACTTGAACCTTTAAGATTTTAAGAAATGAAAATAGATTTTCAATAGTAAATACATAGAAAAAAAACTAAAAACTAAAATAAATTTAAAATTTCAGGGGATGAATCCTGCCACCACTCACCCCCTCGGTCCATATTTGCATAAAAATACTGTAAAGAAAAATTAAAGTTGAAGTCTCATATAGCCTAAATAACATGATTTTGACTCCATCTACTTTGGGAATCTTAAAAAGATTATTGAATTTGTTCAAAGAACCTTTGGTTTTAGTGATTACCGATTTATTTGTTTTTACAGATATTGTACGATGCTTTCCATTGGAACTTCATGGTCCTCCCATTGTACCATAGTTCCGGTTCTTGATGGTTCAACCAAAGCTGTTTTAAGTATAATTGACCATTTTCACTTATACTTAATTAAATAAGCCCATGATTTTAATAAATTTATTGATGGTCTGAATAGAAAAGTGTTGATCTTGGGCGTTTCGTCCTCTTTGGATTCAGTAGAGAGCTGCAGTTGGTGGCAGCCTGCAGAAATAAGAAAAAATGATAGAAAAAGACGACGATATCAGTCTTATGATTGATAGTTATTTATGGATGGATAGATGGATAAATTCGACAGACAGATAATAGATTTAACTGATAATAAGAATTGATAGTAACCATGTTAAGTTTAATTTGGCGATCTTTTATTCAGATTCACTTCAGAGGCTTGTTCCATTTTCTGCTAAAGATGAACTTCCAAAACTCTTCAATGACACCGCAATCTGATAGGATTCAGATACGTGTGAACTTCTGTATCAAATTGAAGACATCTGCAACTGCATAGGTTTATGAGTATTCTTATCAAATGATTGAGAGAATTTTCGAACATGTACTTGTAATGTTTTAGTTCATTTGCTTTACCATTTATCAGTTTGTTCACTTCTGCCAACTTTCTGCGATTTTAAATGTATTACATGCAGATAAACGAAAAATATGTTTATTGATTTCTTTTCTTCTTTTCTTATATCAGTTACATGCAGTGGCGGAGCTGAATGAGGATGGGCACCGGTTAATTAATTTACTTATGGGATTCCACCCATATTTTATTTGTGCTCCTTTCATTTGAAAATTTTGTATTATTAATGTATATGTGCTCAACTTCATCCGTTACTGGTTACATATGTCAATATTGTTGAAAATTGGTTTTCGGTGGTGTAAGTTGTTGCACGAAAGCACCAAATTTTAGGCTGCAAAAAATTGTCAAAATTCGGTGCAGCAATTGTTGAAAAAATAAATAGTAAAATTGCTAAATTAGTCTATGTACTTTACGGTATTTACAATATTAGTCCTTAAGCTTCAACTATAAATACCCTAACTCATTTAGCTTCAAAACCATCTCAAATCATTCTAGCATTCTCCCAATACTAGAAATTTAGAGAGTTTTCTTGAGAGTTGTTTTCTCCTTTTTATCAGGAGAGAATTGTTATTGTTTTCTCATTGTTAGATTGAGCGAAGTTGTAATTCCTATTTTCTCATAGTGAAATTCTTCTATCTTTGCCCGTGGTTTTTTACCCTATATTATTTAGGGGTTTTCCACGTAAAATTTGTCTTCTTTATCTTCACTTTTATTTCTCAAATTATCAATTACGATTTTGCTCTATCCAATAGACTTATTCCGCAACAATTGGTATCAAGATCCAATTAGAGTGTGATATCTACTTATTGTCTTTGTGGTTGCCACCAAAAGGTGGATCCTCCAACATAAGAAAGTAAGAAGTTATTACCCATTCTTTGAAGGTTCCAGCAAACTATTCACGATAG